ATTATTCTTTTAATAAAAACCAGATATCGCCCCTCCCCCGACGCCTACACCGACAATGACGGCCTGATGCTCGATTATCTTAATAGTCACTTGGAGCACAGGAAGCGTGCTAAATTCATCGACTGCTCCGATCCGACCGCTATGATCCCGAATTACATCCGCGATGCCAACGTACGGATCTCGCTTCAGGAGGGTCAATTCCGCATCACCCAACCAGATGGCACGGAATTTCGTAACCGTTATCGGAACAACATAACNGCTAGGAGCACGGAAGAAATGTCTCTTCTCGTTCGATGACTTATATCCTGCCTTGCATCCTGGCACAAAGCACGTTGGCATTTTTATGGAGCTAAAAAAACAATTATTATAGGTCAAAATCACTGACTTCAGTATATACCTAGCAAGAACAACGATCTCCTGCTAACAGTGGCGCCGACTAGCGGCAAATATTGTCTCTAGCTAAGTTTGAACTATTAGTCGAAAGACCAGTTAATCTACCGACTCTGCTATAATCCCAGTGGCATCACTAAAATTTTACTCTATACATAACTTAAAAGTGCAATCAACATAAAAAAAAATTAAGTATCCGACAAATGAGTATCCCTTATTAAACACCAGAAAATGTTCTAGAATGCTCCCGATACATCAATAATAAAATTTCGATAAAAAACAAGATATCGAAACTATGATCTTTCTTTTAAAACAATCCAGTCGTGTAATATAAGTAACCGATTAATAACCGAAATTCCAGTTTTGTTGTAATAAAATAGTAAATAATTAACATTAAATAATTCATAAATAAAATGCAATTTTAAATTTTATCTTTAAAACAAAGTTTCTAAGTTTAAATTTTATTCTTACTATCTCCCCGTAATCCAATGCTCACATCACCCGCCATAAGTAAACTAAAGCATAACACATTATTTCGAAAAAATAAAGTTTGCCTTTATATAAATTAAATTTCTAAATATCAGATCTTAAGCTTTGATTTTTCTAATTATATTGTCACACATATCCAATAAAATACAATGCAAATACAACTATTCATTAATTCAAAATAATAACGTAACGTAACGTAGTACGATGTGAGACTGGCTTGTTGACAGCAATTCTGGATGATGCACCGAGTTTAATTAACAACGCGAGTAATATAGTTAGTGAAAGGTACGTAAATACGTATTTACGGCTAATGCATCGGGCCGATTTTACCGTCATAGCACGAAGCAAAGAATTCGAACGGACGCATCGGTGGTTCAATGGTAGAATACTCGCCTTCCACGCGAGTGATCCGGGTTCGATGCAATCGGTGCTTATTTTTCGATTTGCCCAGTCAAATTCATTTTGTTTTATGCCACTATCGAAGACAAGTGCAAAGCAGGTGCCAACGAGCGCAAAAACGTTTACGTTTCTGTAATTTTGCCAGTGGGAAATGAGCAGTGTTTCGTAGTTCGACATTGCAATCAAGTGATTATAAATATGATTAAAAATTGAAGCCCGATGCCGTCGATAACCCTAACCGAAACCGTGAAAACTATGAATATTTTTCAAAAATTTTCCTGTCAAATAGGTACTTGCGTTTTGTGAAAAAAATCACTTTTCTAAGTAACTACGTGTAGATTCTGATGCCACGAATAACTCGATTCTATCGGAAATTAACAGGCGATTTAGAACGGATCGCTAAGCCGGAAGATTTCAACACTGCGTAGCAGTATTGCTTGAATGCACTTTTGAAAATTGCGCGATTTCGACAATTGAGCGGAAAAGGCGTCTTTCAATCTCACAGCAATATTTAACGAAGCGATTTTCGACTGTACAAATGTCGTAAAACTGCTTGCATGTATAATACGTCATTGGCGCAAACAAACAGCACTGGATTTGTAACAGGAGAGATTTCTTGCGTTCGAAACTGTGACTGTATTATTTATGCAGGTTTGTTTGTTTACCGAGCCGCTTTTTATTTTTATACGAACTTAAACAAAAAAATAGATTCAAAGCTAAACGCATCAAAAGTAATTATATTTAACTGTATGCGCCGAATTTTATTACGCCGATAATTTTCGATTGTCGTTTTAAACTGGTTCGTTCATTCTGGGTGTTATTTTTCACTGTTGTATCTCAGTGAATTCGAACGTGGAAGAAATTTCAGGTGGCCCAGGCCAGCGGGGTCGTACCTCACTCGGTAGAGGTACCGAGATCGATGCTCGGAGTCTCCGTCTGCCGCTGTTATTTTTACAAACGTCTGCAATGAATAAATTTTTTGGCACCACAAAAACTAGTTGTTCTTGTATCTGTGCATCGGTTTACACTTCACTTCATTACAGTCGGAGTGCGATAGTCGTGTACGGTACTGTACTTATTATTTGCAAATTGACTCCTGCCAATTTTATAACCATCTGACCTGTCGCCGTAAGCTGTAGTGAAAGTGTTCGGGAAAAACGGTTGGCTCATCGACGCTTGCAGCGGATGGCAAGGAGCGCGTAGCCTACTTTTAGCAGCAGTGACGTTCTTCGTTCGCAACTGCCTAACAAACGCCTAATAGAGTGAACTATTTACAAATGATATTACAGCCAGTTAGTCGCCGGGGACGTAGCTCAGATGGTAGAGCGCTCGCTTAGCATGCGAGAGGTACCGAGATCGATACTCGGCGTCTCCAGACTCGTTTTGTTTAAGTATTTAAACTCTGACTTCTTTTTTAAAATCCGGTTTGTATAGACGATCGAATTCTCGAAATACTTTTCAGATTTTTGCTGAAGTTAGCAAATAATTCCGTCAGAAATTTAAATGAGAATTCGCTCAGTCATACATCTGGCCGGAAAAAATTCCGTTTTGCAACTTTAAAACTTTTCGGTTAGCCAAAATTCTTATCGTTTCGGAAGCAGACTGCAAGTGCAAAGTCGGTAGCAGCGACGCACATGAGCAGCACGTCTCAGGTGTGACGATACGTAGAGAAAAAAAAATTAAATTTAATGGAGACGCCGAGTATCGATCTCGGTACCTCTCGCATGCAAAGCGAGCGCTCTACCATCTGAGCTACGTCCCCGACGTTCAGAATGCCTTTACGGCTCGTTTGCATTCTTTCATTATCTACTGCCAAGTAACGTTTTCACAGTTGCAATCGATTACCTTCGTGTTTTCGGCTGAGGTATTGGTGTGAAATTTGAAAATTTTCGAATTCCGGTCGCATTCGAAGAATCTCGTCGTCTCTGTGACCAAACCGATCAATTGTTATCTAAATGGCGCTTTGTCGGAAAATCATTGCAACTAATTGTGATATTCGGCTTAACAATGTTTAAAAATACGTAAATTAGAAAGTCCGTGATCTGAACTTACCAATCAAATCGCTGCAAATGATGCAAAAGTCGAAAAAACGCTCCAAATCAATCGCTTTTAATAGCACGAACTGAAAATTCAATTGTTCGCCACAACAATAATCGACCGCTCGCAACAAATTGTCAGAGTTTTATTGTTGCGTCGCCACGAAATTTAATGTAAAAACGTTTGATTTTTCACCGAATTTCGTGATATTTTTGCCTGTCTGTCGCTGAAGGGACGGATTATCGCAAATCGTTCCTTGCATATACATTCACGTTAACAGTAGGTATTCAAAAATCCAATATTCTCGTGTTTCGCGTAAGTGTAAAGATGAATAAATACTTCAATATTATGATGATCCTTCGAACCGAAGAAAGAGGAGACTTCAAGTCTAGTAATTTCCCTTTTATCTATTTTGTTGTGATTGGAAACTTTATTCTAGATGTGTTAAGCTATGCGTTAGACAAAAGAAAAGAGGAACTTTTACGATTATATTTATATGTTAGTTTTCTCGAAGTATATTTTTTACGTTGCGTACACGCCTTTATTTTTCGTGATAATACATGGCTAATTTCGTTAGAGAGGGTCCTTTAGCATATATATTTAACTGCAATTTGAAAAAACTGTAGACCTATAACTGCGCAGTGTCGTTTTCTGTATGTCAGTTTATCTATGCTCAAACTCGAGAAATGACTAAGATAGATGGAAGACGAGACCACGCATGAAAACGTAGGAGCAAGAAGCTTTCATTAACTATATAATTGCTTCCGCTGCAAACCGGAAGTTACGTTATTTCAATTCGAAATTATTTTTCCTGAATAAAGTTAGACAGACGACTCAATTGCTATCAGGAAAAGTATGATATACAGGAGCAAGCCACTACTAATTTGAGGTGAAGAGCATATATTTTTAATGAAATTGATTAAAAATTGCTCGTCACAATAAATACTTGCTCGTATATTGAACACTCCACCCTCGCGACTTTAAAAAATCAGATTGTAGATATTTCGATGGCATCGCGAGTCGTAATTTCCTGGTACGTTGGTTATTTTGTCGTTAGATTAGTTTTTTGAACGTTATTGCTAAACATTAAACAGCCTGCCCGAGTCGGAATTTTGACAGTATGTACGCCGGTGAAAAGTTACGTAATACCTTAGAGCTCATTTGATATTTCGGTTCGTTTTCAGGTCGATGATTGACAGACAGAGACAGTAGGCTATTTATCCGAAAAGTAAACAACGGCAGCATTGCCTTGTTCTGCGGAGAGGACGAGTGCGATGTGGTATTTACCTGATATGGCCGACGACGACATTTCTATCGGTACATTATGTTGGAATAGACGTTTGGAAAGTAATCATCCGGTGTCACCGTGGCGCAATCGGTTAGCGCGTTCGGCTGTTAACCGAAAGGTTGGTGGTTCGATCCCACCCGGGGGCGCGTAGTTTTTTTACTGATTTTTAGTGGTTCCAGCCAATTAGTTTGTTTTTTTGTGTCACTTATACCTCCATGAATGTCTTCGGATCATTTTTATCAGGTATTTTACAGTTTATTTCGCCCCGTTGTCGATATTTTACCAACTTTTAATTTGGGACGACCGTTACAACGACCTTGGACCGACGCCATTTCTCCTCAGAACGACCGTTACAACGATTTTTGAACCGGCGAAATCTCACCTCGAAACTCGAATCCAATCAATTTTTCTGTATTTGCTCAGGTGAGTGACTCTACTTTCACTACGATGGATTCCATCGTGTCATCCCCTTCATCTAATAGTAACATCCACGGACTGGTCCACCCTACGGTCGACGAAAATACCCAACCAACGAACGTTACAAATGGCGTCCGCCATGTTGACCCGTACGAAGCTGGCACCGGATATGCCTCTTCGGCCAGTATTCTTACCTCAGCCCCTACACGCCGCAGCTCAAGGAGGAAGAATTGCCCCCCATCGAACCCGATAAAAGATATCGGAAATAAATCTACAGCAGAGAACTCTCTTTCCACCAAACCTACCGTGAACATCCGTAGGCAACGAGGAAGACCGAGGAAATCTGCTCGTCCGTGCACCGAGATCAACGACTCTACCACTCCAGTGGTCCCGAATCTACCAGATACAACAATCTCCGATCCCGATCAATCTCCAGTAGTCCCTATCCGAAACCCCTCCATCCAGGTCTCTTCGAACACCGTATACAATCACACCGTTGGTTGCACCTTTGACAGGAATTCTGCGGTTTTTCCATGTCTCGCTGCTGACTGTAAGAAGGTATTCTTTAGTCTACACTCCCTTATGTCACACTCGGGCATGGTCCACAACTCCCATCTTAACCCACTCTGGTCTTGCAACTCATGCCAACTCTCATTTAAAACCCGGCTCAAGCTTCTGGAGCACGAGTTCTCAGCACATCAAATTGACTTTCCTTATAAGGCTAACCCAATAACTCCTGAGGGGTTGCCGACAGGCTCTCGGGCGATTGACTATATCGTGAGAAAAGGTGTCAACAAATTCCCCTGCCTCTTCGGCTGCGAGATCGTCACCGACAGGAAAGACTCTCTCATCGGGCACACACTTACGGCGCATGATACTCTCCTAAGAATAATTATCAAGTGTGATGCCTGCTGCTTTACCACCATTGACAGCAACGAGTTTTCGAGCCACAAAGCCAAGCGCTGTCCGGTATCTCTCCCCGGTCCGCCTAATTCGACCCTAACATTGGATCGCATAAAAGATCACCTTAGAGACGCCGTCGGACTCGTCGGTTGGAATCCCGTTAACGTAAGACACTTCCTCGAGCTCCGGGATATCCACTTAGACCCCGAAGCCATATCCAAGGGCCTGGAAAGTCTGAGGGAGGCGCCCAATGCGATCATCCCTATAAAGAAAAGCAATATGGCTAGGTGCCAGAAATCTATCCAAGCCGTCAACAACCACCCGGTAGGTAGCCAAACTCTAATCTCTAACGCGACCAACGGGGTTCAGGGGGGAACTGTCCCCTCTCTTCCCGGTACTCCCCCGTTACCTGCACCCCCGGTCCAGGTTGCAGGCCCTCGCCAAGTTTGTACGGTTCATATAGAAACCACTGCCCCGCAGCCTCCCCCCTCTGAGGCCTATCCGCCAATTCTCCCTCCGCCCACTCAAGACATCGATGCCTCTTCCTGTTCCGCTTTGGCCGCTACCATACCTCCTACCGTGCGCTCCTCTCCGCCGTCTCTTGCCGAAGCCGTCTCTCCCTCCTCCAGATCCATCCACCTCAACTCCTCGCCATCGTCTAACGCTCGTAACGCCTCGGTTACTACTTCTCCTCACAACATTACTCAGACTCCGGCCCCCGGAATCACTCTCCAATCCCCTATCCACCCACAGTATTCGTCTCTCACCGTTGCGCCGCACTCCCGGTGGCAACTACGCAATCCGATCATTAAATCTGCCGAGGAATGGGATAAGGCTTGCTCTACTATCGCCGAATTAACTAGAGCATATGTAATCTTCGACGAAGATCCCTGGGAAGAAGTGGAGCGAAAGGATCGCGACCTTAGAGAAGCGCTATATAGCTGCATTTGGTCTCTAACCCACCCCTCCACCCAAACCGATGGTACCGTCTCCCATCACGACGTTAGTCACTCGGGGCATATTCCGCAGGACAATAGCTCTACTGATAGAGAGGTCAACTCGGTACAACAAGAAATTTTAGACATCAACGCACGCCTGAACCAACGAAACTTGACATTTCGGCAGAGAGGCGAACTGCTGAGAAGACGTAGGAAACTCCTCTCGGACCGCTCGGCCTCCTTCTGGCGTCGAAAATTCAACTTCCGGCCGAAGCAGGTATTCGAAGAGTTGATCGCCGGATCTTCGTCACCTCGATGTCTCCTCACTTTGTCCACCATAGAAGAGGCGTTCCGTGCAAGATACTCCCAGGAGATCGACGGTAACACACCACCTGCGGAGTCCTTTGGCGAATGCCGTTTTCAATTACGTCCCCCCTCTCTCGATGACATCGATCACGTACTTAAGAAAACTCACGGAAGTTCCAGCGCCGGATACGACGGTATCCCTTACGCAATCTGGAAACGCTTTCCCGCACTCAAACCGTGGCTTTTGGTCCTTTTTGCTAGGTGCTGGAAAGAGAAAAGGATTCCGGAAGCCTGGAAAATCTCTAAAACCATACTGTTATATAAAAAAGGGGACCTTAACTCCATTAACAACTGGAGACCCATTACCATTCAATTGACAATAGCCAAACTCTACTCTTCCTGCATCGCCCGCAGCATCAGGGAATGCTGTATCCAAAACGACATCATTTCCAGTAACCAGAAGGGATTTATGCCGACTCCCGGCTGTATCCAACACGACTATCTGATTCACTCCGCCATCCGGAAAGCAAAGAGATGTAAATCATCCGTATTCATTTGCTCCTACGACTTTCAAGATGCGTTCGGCTCCATCGACCACTCATTGATACGTAAGTCGTTAAACAATCTAGGCTTCGGACGTGACTCGACTGACATCGTTATGAGTCTCTACAGTAACATCAACTTCTGGGTGGAAACCCCCTCGGGAAAAACTCAGCTCATCCCTCAGAAGCGTGGCGTTAAACAGGGAGATCCATCCTCTCCCCTCGTCTTTAATCTGGTCTTGGAGAACTTATCGAGAGCTCTAAACAAGCTACCGAAGACCAGTCAGGGATTCAACCATCTACTGTATGCCGACGACCTCACTATAATCTCGGAAACACCCCAACACCTTATACAGCTGCACGAATCGGTTATCAACTTCAACACAAATTCTGGTCTCTCCCTCAATATCAATAAATGCAAACTTCTCGCCTGTAAAGGCACAAAAAATTCTATCAAAGGCACGCTCTCCAGCCGGGATCTAGACATCTCCCTGAAAGTCGGCAACCACACCATCAAACCTATCCCCTCCAAGGACTCCTTCCGGTATCTCGGCAATAAACTGGGTAAACTAAGGAACGGCATCTGGTCCTCCTTCTGGGAACTACTTAACGATACCAAGGCTCTTTTGGACAAAACTGCTTCCAGCCCCCTGCTGATTCATCAGAAGCATCACCTTCTGCGCACCTTCATCTGTCCGCGATGGGAATACTACATCCGTTTGAACGGGCTAGGCACATCATACGCCAAAAAACTCGGAGAAGCCCTCAGAGACGCCGTCCGGAAATACGTCGGTCTTCCCAAACAGACTGCACGTGCTACTTTCCACTCCCTCCCAGAGGACGGGGGACTCAATATCCCCGACCCCTGGACTTGGTGCTGCGCCACGCAGATCTCGCACATCATCGACCTTCTGAATTGCGACGATGCGCTAGTCCGCAGCGCCATCCGTGACGAAATTATTCTTTTAATAAAAACCAGATATCGCCCCTCCCCCGACGCCTACACCGACAATGACGGCCTGATGCTCGATTATCTTAATAGTCACTTGGAGCACAGGAAGCGTGCTAAATTCATCGACTGCTCCGATCCGACCGCTATGATCCCGAATTACATCCGCGATGCCAACGTACGGATCTCGCTTCAGGAGGGTCAATTCCGCATCACCCAACCAGATGGCACGGAATTTCGTAACCGTTATCGGAACAACATAACCAAACAACTCAAAACCCTACTAAAATCCCGCATGGCCGACGACTGGTGTAGCAGGGAAGGGGGCCAAGGGAAAGCCATGGCCACGTGCAGGAACACTGTGTCGAATTCCTGGATCAACTCACCCTGCCTATCAAAAGGCACCTACGCCTTCGCCTTAAAAGCCCGGCTTGATCTTCTTCCCACTAAAGCTAATCTTTTTCGGTGGAAGAAATCCCCCACCAGCCTCTGCTCCCACTGTGGTGAACGCGAAACTATGCATCACATCCTCTCGAAGTGTCACCAATATATGCCGCTCAGACGCGAGTTACATAACAAAATTCTGACGCGGATCAGCAAGACGATTCACTATAACAACAAGGGCCCGGACGTCACCGTAGCTATCGACAAATCGATAGACGAGCTGGGAGACGATAACCTACGCCCCGATATTGTGATACGTAACGAGAAAGAGAAAAAAATCATTATTATAGATCTGGCCATCACGAGCCAATACGGCAAGGATTGCATCAACGCCTCCCGCCAAAATAAAATTGAAAAATACCGCCACATAGGGGACCACTTTGCCGCGAGAGGATACAACGTTGTAAATGACGCAATCGTGTTTGGCTCCATGAGGGGAACCGACTCCCGTAACACAAAGCTCTTTAAAACCTGTGGCTCTCCTGTCAAATTTTCTGCCAAGATGCATAAATTTATTATATCTGACATCCTGAAATTCGCTCACAAAATATGGGGACAAAGATGTGGCCCGCGGATTACCCCTGCCATCCGCTAGCTTACCGGGTATATCAGCTTGTACTTTTATATACTTATATGTGTACTTTTATATACTTATTTTTGTACTCTTATTTACTTATATTTGTACTTTTAGATACTTATATTTGTACTTTTAGATACTTATATTTGTACTTTTATACTTATATATACCTATATTTACTTATATATGTTTTGTACGCTTCTTCGACATTACTCGACTGACATCGTTATGAGTCTCTACAGTAACATCAACTTCTGGGGACAAAGATGTGGCCCGCGGATTACCCCTGCCATCCGCTAGCTTACCGGGTATATCAGCTTGTACTTCTATATACTTATATCTGTACTTTTATATACTTATTTTTGTACTCTTCTTTACTTATATTTGTACTTTTAGATACTTATATTTGTACTTTTATACTTATATATACCTTTATTTACTTATATATATTTTTGTACGCATCTTCGACATTGTAACAATATGTTTTTCTGTCACTCCTAATCTGTTATTGTTACACTTACTATTTATCATGTCCCTGAGGCACCATCCTCTGGACATTTTTTATTCATGCTGCCTTTATGTTAATCATCTATATGCATGATATTTTATTTTTGTACAATTTAAAAGAAAATAAATATGGTTCGAGCCCACCCGGGGGCGCGGTATTTTTTTACTGTTTTTTAGTGGTTCTAGCCATTCATTTTGTCTTTTTGTGTCACATTTACCTCTATGAATGTCTTCGGATCATTTTCATCAGTTATTTTACTGGTTATTTCGCTCCATTGTCGATATTTCACCAACTTTGTATTTGAGACGACCGTTACAGCGACCTTTGAACCGGCGAAATCTCACTTCGAAACACGAATCCAGCCAACTATTTCTGATTTTGCTCAGGTGAGTGACTCTATTCCTCCTACGATGGATTCCGTCGTGTTATCTCCTTCACCTAAAAGAAACAACCACGGACTGGTCCACCCTACGGTCGACGACGAAACTCAACCAACGACCGTTACAAATGGCGCCCGGCATGTTGACCCGTCAGAAGCGGGCACCGGAACCGCCTCTTCGGCCAGAAACCTCACCTCAGCCCCTACTCGCCGCAGTTCAAGAAGGAAGAACTGCCCCCCATCGAACCCGATAAAGGAAAACGGAAATAAATCTACAGCAAAGAACTCTCTCCCCACCATACCTACCGTGAATATCCGTAGTCGACGAGGAAGACCGAGGAAATCTGCTCGTCCTTGCACCGAGATCAACGACTCGATCACTCCAGTGGTCCCGAATCCTACAGATGCAACCATCTCCAATCCCGATCAAGCACCAGAAGTCCCTCTCAGAAACCCCTCCATCCAAGTCTCTCCGAACACAGTAAGCAAACACATCGTAGGATGCACTTTCGACAGGAATTCCGCGGTTTTCCCATGTCTCGCTGCCGACTGTAACAAGGTATTCTTTAGTCTACACTCCCTTATGTCGCATTCGGGCATGGTCCACAACTCCCACCTCAACCCCCTCTGGTCTTGCAACTCCTGCCAACTCTCTTTCAAAACCCGGCTCAAGCTTCTAGAGCACGAGTTCTCCGCATATCAAATTGACTTTCCATTTAAGGCTAACCCATTAACTCCTGAGGAGTTGCCGATGGGCTCTCGGGCGATTGATTATATCGTGAGAAAAGGTGTCAGCAAATTCCCCTGCCTCTTCGGCTGCGAGATCGTCACCGATAGGAAGGACTCTCTCATCGGGCACACACGGAGCATGAAACTCTCCTAAGGATAATTATCAAGTGTGATGCCTGCTGCTTTACCACCATTGACAGCAACGAGTTTTCGAGCCACAAAGCCAAGCGCTGTCCGGTATCTCTCCCCGGTCCGCCTAATTCGACCCTAACATTGGATCGCATAAAAGATCACCTTAGAGACGCCGTCGGACTCGTCGGTTGGAATCCCGTTAACGTAAGACACTTCCTCGAGCTCCGGGATATCCACTTGGACCCCGACGCCTTAATCAAGGGCCTGGAAAGTCTGAGGGAGACGCCCGATGCGATTATCCCTAGAAAGAAAAGCAATATGGCAAGGTGCCAGAAATCCATCCAAGCAGTCAACAATCATCCGATAGGTAGCCAAACTTTTATTTCCAATGCGACCAACGGGTTTCAGGGGGAAACCGTCCCCTCTCTTCCCGGTACTCCCCTGTTACCTGCTCCCCCGGTCCAGGTTGCAGGCCCTCGCCAAGTTTGTACGGTTCCTATAGCTACCACTGCCCCGCAGCCTCCCCCCTCTGAGGCTCATCCGCCAATTCCCCCTCCGCCCACTCAAGTCATCGATGCCTCTTCTTGTTCCGTTTTGGCTGCTACCATACCTCCTACCGTACTTTTCTCTCCACCGTCTCTTGCCGAATCCGTCTCTCCTTCTTCCAGGTCCACCCACCTCAACTCCTAGTCGTCGTCTAGCGCTCGTAACGCCTCGGTTATTACATCTCCTCATAATCATATACAGGCTCCGGCCCCCGGAATCACTCTTCATTCCCCTATCCACCCACAGTATTCGTCTCTCACCGTTGCGCCGCACTCCCGGTGGCAACTACGCAATCCGATCATTAAATCTGCCGAAGAATGTAATAAGGCTTGCTCTACTATCGCCGAGTTATCTAGAGCATATTTAATCTTCGATGAAGATCCCTGGGAAGAGGTGGAGCGGAAGGATCGCGACCTTAGAGAAGCTCTTTATAGCTGCATTTGGTCTCTAACCCATCCCTCCAGCCAAACCGATAGACCCGTCTCCCATCACGACGTTATTCACTCGGGGCCTATTCCGCAGGACAACAGCTCCACTGATAGGGAGGTCAACACGGTACAACAAGAAATTCTAGACATCAACACACGCCTGAACCAACGAAACTTGACATTTCGGCAGAGAGGCGACCTGCTGAGAAGACGTAGGAAACTCCTCTCGGACCGCTCGGCCTCCTTCTGGCGTCGAAAATTCAACTTCCGGCCGAAGCAGGTATTCGAAGAGTTGATCGCCGGATCTTCGTCACCTCGATGTCTCCTCTCTTTGTCCACCATAGAAGAGGCGTTCCGTGCAAGATACTCCCAGGAGATCGACGGTAACACACCACCTGCGGAGTCCCTTAGCGAATGCCGTTTTCAGTTACGTCCCCCCTCTCTCGAAGACGTCGATCACGTCCTTAAGAAAACTCACGGAAGTTCCAGCGCCGCATACGACGGTATCCCTTACGCAATTTGGAAACGCTTTCCCGCACTCAAATCGTGACTATTGAACCTCTTTGCTAGGTGCTGGAAAGAGAAAAGGATTCCGGAAGCCTGGAAAATCTCAAAAACCATACTGTTATATAAAAAAGGGGACCTTAACTCTATTAACAACTGGAGACCCATTACCATTCAATTGACAATAGCCAAACTCTACTCTTCCTGCATTGCCCACAGCATCAGGGAATGCTGTATCCAAAACGACATCATTTTTCATTTCCAGTAACCAGAAGAGATTTATGCCGACTCCCGTAGATTTATGCCGGCTGTATCCAACACGACTATCTGATTCACTCAGCCATCCGGAAAGCAAAGAGATGTAAATCATCCGTATTCATTTGCTCCTACGACTTTCAAGATGCGTTCGGCTCCATCGACCACTCATTGATCCGTAAGTCGTTAAACAATCTAGGCTTCGGACGTGACTCGACTGACATCATTATGAGTCTCTACAGTAACATCAACTTCTGGGTGGAAACCTCCTCGGGAAAAACTCAGCTCATCCCTCAGAAGCGTGGTGTTAAACAGGGAGATCCATCCTCTCCTCTCGTCTTTAATCTGGTCTTGGAGAACTTATCGAGAGCTCTAAACAAGCTACCGAAGACCAGTCAGGGGATCAACCATCTTCTGTATGCCGACGATCTCACTATAATCTCGGAAACACCCCAACACCTTATACAGCTGCACGAATCGGTTATAAACTTCAACACAAATTCTAATCTCTCCCTCAATATCAATAAATGCAAACTTCTCGCCTGAAAGGCACAAAAAACTAACAAAGGCACGCTCTCCAGTCGGGATCTGGACATTTCTCTGAAAGTCGGCAACCACACCATCAAACCTATCCCCTCCAAGGACTCCTTCCGGTATCTCGGCAATAAACTGGGTAAACTGAGGAATGGTATTTGGTCCTCCTTTTGGGAACTACTTAACGATACCAAGGCTCTTCTGGACAAAATTACTTCCAGCCCTCTGCTGATACACCAAAAGCATCACCTTCTGCTCACCTTCATCTGTCTGCGATGAAAATACTAAATCGTTCAACGGACTAGGCCAGTGGTGGCCAACCTTTTGCATACCATGCGCCAATTTTTTGACAGACGAGTTCAGATGCGCCATATAACTCGAACACTTTTTATACAATCTTACGTTCAATGTTAGGGGTTGATAAATAGAGATAAGAATAAATCTGCTTCGCTTAGAAGAGAAAAAGGAATAACTTTATTACGCAGTTGAATTAATTAATTTATGATAATTTATTGAGCAACCAATTTACAATAGTCAACAATAATGTCCTGTACGAGAGGGTGATTGCTTCATGATGGTGCTATTGCTGCCAGAGTCTCGTTTGGTGAAGATTAATCTGCACCACAATTATTGGCATTGAGAACAAGATCAGCTTGGAATAACTTTAATCACAATAAATGTTTTCGGCCATTTACACGCCTGTAAACTGATCGGAAATAAAGATCGCAAGACTCAAAATACGTGCATTCACTGTAATTTACTATGTGGAGAACACTCATTTTATCTGCAAAATAGACTGTAACGAATTGTGCAACAAATGAACTTGCCATGACAGACTATAAAAAATTTATTTTTTTATATAATAATTTTAATCGCAAAATAGCCAAATCTGACAATTTTGCTCAGAACTAACTGAAGCGCCACTTGTAGTCGTCCAATGCGCCACGTTTGGCGCATGCGCCACGTTTTGGCCACCCCCTGAACTAGGCACTTCATACGCCAAAAAAACTCTGAGAAGCCCTCAGAGATGCCGTCCGGAAATACGTC